CAATGATGGAACAAACTCAAGTTGGCAGGCATGCCGAGATCTCACTAGGATGGTTACCTTGATTCTCTTCCCTGTCAGGATTTCCCTAACTCAACAAAACATATCTCTGAGAGTCTTGCAGTTTGTATAGACACTCTTCATACAATATAGGACTTTCTAAGGCAACATCTCAGTTCAAGTCCCGCTTCTGTTGCGATTTGAAACCATCAACAGCTCATTAAATCATCGAACACAGTTGGTACGTAAAAATCCCGTTCCGACTTGATACCGATATCATCTGCGCAGCAGCCAATCAGCGTGTCCACTACTGTTTATAACTGGTATATGTAACATGTTATTCTCATAACCCACTACCTTCTTGTCCTTGCTTCCCCCATGGCGACTCAGACAGACATTCCGTCGGATCTTACCGACAATAACAAGGCTTTCATGTTCCAAGTGCTCGACAATGAGCTGAACTCCAAACTTCTCTACGCGCTATTGTATGGTGAGCATCAATGTTCGGTGTTTTGACATGTAGATGTTGACTGATGTCAGGCATATACACCGGCATTCTCGCTGTCGCGTTGTGGAATATAGGTGAGCCAGGAGCGTCTCCACTACAACGCCCAAGCTGAAATAAATGGCAGTCATCAATAAATGTTGGCCCATCCGACGAGCCGTGGTCATTGTTATCATCCTCCTCCATGCTCTGATTACTATCAATTTTGCTGCCACCTGGTCATTGGCACGCATCGCATTCATCGAAAATGGGCGAAATTTTTGGACTGTATATTTGATCTTCAGTGGTGGTACTGATACAGCCACTTGGGTGATGGATACCGCAGCGACCATCAGTACCATTCTCGCCGACTCATATATGGTGCGTGTGATTCCGCTGGGGACTATTCATCAGCTTAACATCGTTTCAACTCTAGATTTGGTGCTGCTGGATGGTTTGGGGGCGGCGCTGGCTTGTTGTTCTGCTTCCAATATTTTCCCTGGTTTCTGCATTCGGTATGGTGTCTCCCACCTATGCTTTTCATGCTCGTAGTAATACCCAACCTTTTATGTAGTATCAAGAATCATGGTAGAATATTACGACAACGTCGATCTGACATCCCCACTCTGGAGTGTATTCTTTGTGCTCTATCTATCCTCCAATCTGGTGACGACATTATCTTGCACCGTGCTCATCATATACCGCATTATGGCTGTTACCGGTGTTAGGCATGGAGCGATGGGTCGACTGGGAGTTTATCGCCGTTTTATTGAAGTACTGGTGGAATCCTCAGCTCTCTATTCAATATCTAATATCCTATATCTGGCTTTCATTGTTCACGATGATATTAGATGGTATTACCTTGATATCATAACTGCCATTGCAAAGGTGTGTCTATGACCCTCAATTCCCTTGTCATTGATCAAACACCTTAAGTAGGGAGTCGCACCCACACTCCTCGTTGGTCGGGCAGCGGCGGGACATACACTCCCCAGAGAAGACAGTGACAGAAGTACATTGTCGTCACTTCATTTCCAAATGCCTTCAGAACCTGGCACGACCAGTTCTCAACGTGAAGAATCCACTGTTCAGAGTTCAGTCCTTGCAATGGACATCGAGGCTCAACCGGAGATCCGTTGAACAAGACACAGTGGTGTCCATGAAGGACTGAATTTGGACCGTCATTTTTTGTCAGAGTATCTTTTTGGACCATCATCGTACTCCCTACTCTATTTTTCGACCGGTTATGTAGTACTATCTAAACTTTTGTAATCTCCCCTTCCTTCGCGTCTTTATGCTATACATAGTACTCAAGAAAATACGAAGCATCGCATCGTCGTATAATACAGATACTCCTTTTTTTGGACTCAGTATTTCATTAGCCACGACTTAACTATCTACGAAAACGCGGTGAATGTACAGGGCCTCATGCCTCAGCTTCCTTCCTTCCCTCTACTTCCTCGGACGTGTACTGTATTTTTGCGCCCTGTGTTGGGCTAATTGAAGTGATTTCGAGTCTGCGGTTGACCAATGTTGTATGTGCCGTGATGGCCGTGCTTTGGCGGTGGGTATGCGACGACTGAAGACCCATCTCATCTCATCATTGCACAGAAATGTCGCCAGTTTGAAAATTTTGTTTCGGACCGAGTCTGGGAGTAACCTTGCGCTTGGTCTGTCTCCAATTAAACGTGAAGTGTATGTCATGTACGCTATTTTATAATATTTCTGCTACCCCGTTATGCCTAGTAATTCCCTTAGCTCATGTTGAATATCATCGGAAGCTAATGTTTTACTCGTTTGGGGCACTAATGCTCTCATGATAAATTATCCCATTTAAATATTTAAGCATGAGTCTCCCAGTACATCAAGGATATAATTATTAAAATATGGATATGCAAACCGCTTGGTCTACGTCCTAACCCTTATTAAACTTGTCCCATGGCTGACCACGACATTCTGATGTGACGAGTGCATCCTTCGTCTCCTCAACTTCCTCATCATCGAACACCTTCCTGCTCATGATCGTCCTCAACCTGTACCCCGCGCCTTCATGGTCGGTCAACGACGGGCTCAACAGAATAGATACGCCCTCACCATCACAGCCAAGGGGAAGAGCTTTCTATCAAGCACAATTCCACGAATCAGCGATCTGATGTCACGCTCTACGCCATCCCTCTCTTCCTCATCATCGACCACCACCACCCAGCCATCCTTTCTTGAAGACGTCCCTAATCTTTCCTCCCAGGAAACGAGCAGCGTCAACTGTGATCCTGCTCTTCGTCACTCGGATTCACGGCTAGGAGGGACGACATACTCGACGAACATGCTGCCTTGGTGCGTTCCAAGACAAGATTACACGCGACAACACCAATCGGAGTGTCCCACTCAGCTTTGGTACGTGCAGCTTTCGAGCCTCGACACGACACCAACAGAGCACAGTGTGAATCGCTTGTACGCACAAGCGATGCCCCCATTGCGTTTCGTGGCTTCCAAGGTCCTATTCGCATGACAGGGCATGACAGCATCGCCAGAGTGCTCAAGTCGCCCGCGCTAGCGCTGAACCAAGGAAGGTGTGAGCAATCGACGTTTGGTCTATTGGATTATGGTCAGTCCAAACTAAAATCCATGATCAAGATCACAAACCTGGGTTGAAGACCAAATCTCTCCAAGTCTGACCCACGCTCACTGTTCAAGTCCTTTTTCCTCAAATGACTCTTCTTTGTGACCCCATCCGAGATTGCAAGTTGCTTCGCCTCGCCTTGCTAGGGCTGCCAAGAGACTAGCAGTTCCTGTCATGGTTTGGCCACGAACCTCTTTAGCGGCACAGAAAGCTCCAAAATCAAAGTTGAATCGGAACTTGATCTTGCTCACCCATGGCCATAGAATAGAGATGAACATTAGAACCGGCACGAGAAGATAGAGCGTTTTCAATGATTGGTATGTGCTGACAGTAGAGTGGGGTCTTCACGCTTCCTCTTCTTGGGTACAACAGGCGGACCCGCGGGTAGAGAGGAAGTGGGGGTGTAGATGAAACCTCGACCTCGGGCTTCTTCCTTGTTCTTCATCGCTGTCTTCGTCATCCAACTCTGGAAGATCGATATTGAGGGCATCCACTTCATCCTTCTCTTTACCACCGAACTTTTCCCTCCACTCCTTTTCGCCAGGTGTGCAGGAGGGCAAATCCGTCAACTAGCCCCGAAACCAAAGCCACCAATTCATCCTGTTCACGCTTCAACCGCATACCCCGCTTCCATAGTACTCGAATGTACTCGACGGCCTTTCCAAGGACGTTGGCTTCTGCACTTTCTTGCCACTTTGACTCCATCAACGTATCCTCGATTGTCGATGATATCAGTCAAGTCGTCTTCATTTCTGATCTTGGCCTCCGTCCCTTGCTCTTCTTTGGCCCATCGTTCGATTCCGACACTCGAAGGGCAGGAACTGCCATGCGCAAGGACTGGATTCTGGTGTTAAGGTTCGTGCGGTTCCGACGCTCGATGGTAGTGTGAGACGTTTGGCGCCGGAAGGATATGAGAATTGCGTTGGGAGCTGTAGCAGAGGAAGGGATGGCGGTAGCGTGGAACGGGGCAGCTTGGGAAGCGGGAGGGGTGCTGGGAGGAGGGGTCGATGCAGTCGATGATACCGACGAGGATGAAGACAGCGATGCAGACGAAATTGAACCCACTGAACACGAGCTGTATTAGATACAGTACACTTTATATATGAACTGGACTTACTTATAGGCATGGCCATTACAACATGGGCCAACTCGGCAGCGAGATCCAGCGAAGACTCCTCGGATGACGACACACTCATTCGCCTGGGAACAGAGCCACAGTAGACCAGGAGATGACTGAAACGTGAAGGGAAAATCGTATTCGTAATGGTTCGCACTCTGAAGCCATGGGGTCTTCTCCGCGTCTGAGCAGCTGCAGGACGATCCATCCACCCAGAAATCCTGCCCAGAGCCTCGTCAGTGCATGTCATGGAAAGAAACGGACGACATACTCCACCAACGACTATTTACCTCCTCCCGGTCCTTGGCGGCAGCTGGTCGTCTATCGACGGGGCAGCGAGCTCGCACTCCGAAGCCATCCTCAAGTCCATCCTCTATGCATCTTTCGGTGACCAGCGATTTGAGGTGCTGCACGTGCTGGAATCGCCTTGAGCTTCCTGTCGTTGTCGCGGATGTAGGCCAGGATGAAAAGGAAATAAAATAGGCCTAGAGTCATCCATGTTGAACAGGGGACATCCTCTCGCGCGACTGAAATTCCCGTGTCAGCGACGCCAGCTACGGATATGAGTTGCAACCATACCTTTGCTGCTATATGGACAAGGTAGAGGTGCATGTACGTAACTCAATTTGGAAATTTGGACAGAATCTCGCCTTAGATTCTTACCGTCACTAATACACTGTTGTTGAGTCAAAGGAACCATAAAACTACAATAATATTGTATGGAGATTTGAGAAGGCCTTAGCCACCAACCGAATAAAAACACAGTGTGTCGGATCGGGTCACTCCCTGACTGGGAGTCGAACCCAGTTCTTGCGCATAACAGGAACATGCACTAAACGATAGACTACCAGGAATATAATCATTTCGTACAAATATGATATCCTTTCCCCCGCGCGTTGGTCCTCTCCGGACCTATACAGTTGCTTTCCTTGCCTTCCCACTGTCTTGATTGCATGAACTCAACTGCAACTTTCAGATGCAGTCGCAACGTATTCTCTCTTCTCCCGTGGCGCTGTAGACTATCGACTGCAGTATCCAATGTCAATTCCAAGGCTTTTTCAAAGACCTTGAATTTGCCAAAGACCAGCTTTCCTCTATGGCCCCGACCGAGAAAAGAGCGAAGTCGCCCTACGTCCAAGGATTTGCGAGGATCTGTATAGGGCTCAGGTCAGCATCGCACCCACCAAATCACGTTATTCTAATCTGGTCGCATAGGCACATCGAAGGGGTGGTCGCGATTTTGTTTTGCATGATGGTCCTCCGTATGCTAATGGCAATCTGCATGTCGGTGAGTGGCCTTCGGTTTTGCCTTTCCTTTTCTCACATATACAGGCCATTCCATGAATAAAATCATCAAGGACATTATCAACCGATTCCATGTCATTTCCGGAGACCGAGTACAGTCCGTCATTCAACCTTCCAGCAATTATTGGTCCTTATCCTCCTCGTAGATATATTCCTGGATGGGATTGCCACGGTCTGCCTATCGAAAACAAGGCACTAAAAGACCTCGGAGTTCGTCGTTTCCTACCACTGAAGACATCTGCCCATGTCACTAAAGACGGATTCAAGGTCACTCACACCATCCGACATTCGTTCGGCTGCCCGGAAAACTGCTTTGCACGAGATTGAGACGCAGAAGGAGGAATTTCAGCAGTTTGGGATAATGGCTGACTGGAGTAAAGAAACCACTTATCGCACTCTGGGTATGTGTATTCATCCTGCTCCGTATAATGTCTTCCAACGGGACTTCTAGATCATGGATACGAAATGCGACAGCTAGCGATATTTCAAAAGATGGTGGAGAACGGTTCGCGAATACTATATCCGACTTACACCCCGAAACTGACAACTGCTGCTAGGTTTAATTTACAGGCACTATCGACCAGTCCATTTCTCTCCGTCTTCTCGATCAGCGTTGGCAGAAGCAGAGTTGGTATACAAGGACGATCACACCTCACACTCAGTCTATGTTACCTTCAATCTGCATGTAGCACAGTCGGGCGAAAGATATGCAAAGTACGGTCGCGATATCAAGCTGTTGGTCTGGACCACAACGCCTTGGACACTAACGGCGAATATGGTAAGTTATGAGTGTTTGTTCCTTGCGCCACTCATCGTCTGCAGGGGATTGCGGTGAATCCAGACTTGGCTTATACCTTCGTCGAACGCGAGGATGACAAGGAAGGTCCTCTTTACCTGATCGCCACCGGACGGCTAGGAGACAACCCTACGGAGCCCGTCTTCTCTGCTCTAGGAAACATCCGCTATGTCGACAGCATCCAAGGTCAGAGTCGCGCTTTACAAGTCCTTCCGCTGGTCCTGATCAGGGATTCATTGTACGTTCCGACCTCGTTGGCGCGTACTACAAGCCAATGTTCTCTCATGGAAGTTCTAAAAGAATTATCAGAGCTTCGCACGTCACGTCCGAGTCTGGCACTGGTTTGGTACACTGCGCTCCTGCTCATGGTGTGGAGGACTACAACACGTTCCGGGATCAGGGTCTACTAGCTGGTACCGAATCGATGCTATGCCATGTCGGCTCTGAGGGAGAATTCAAGGCGGATGTTGCGGATGTCGTTGATGACACAGCCGCTCAATCTCTTGTTGGACAACCCGTACTCGAAGATGGATCGCGTGCAGTAGTGAATTTACTGAAGGAGACCAACAGCTTGGTAAAAATTGAGCGGTTCAAGCACAAGTATCTCTATGATTGGAGAACGGACAAACCTATCATCATCACGTAAGTTCAAACCGTCTGTCTTGGATACATTTATCACTTATCATGTACATTTCATCAGTGCGACTTCCCAGTGGTTCGCCAATTTAGACAAGATCAAAGATGATGCCCTGAATGCCCTTGAACACGTAGAAATGTTCCCTCCTTCGTGTACGTTTAACCTCTCTTTCATGATATCTTTGAGTCCTTAATTGTCCCTCACAGCTCGTCTACAATCATTTATACGCTCACGTTCAGAATGGTGCATATCCCGCCAGCGGGTGTGGGGCGTGCCTATACCCGCCTTGTACCATATTCCTACAGACTGCGCAATCCTCGACGCAGCCTCGCTTTCCCATATCCTCCCCATCCTGCAAGAGAAAGGCATCGAGTACTGGTGGAACGGACCCGTCGAGGAATTCATCCCTCCCGCCCTTCGAGGCGGCGAAGGAGCGGATGTGTGGCGCAAGGGGACTGACACGATGGACGTGTGGTTTGATAGCGGGTCTTCGTGGTCGACGTTGGACGAGCGTGAGGATGGAGGAGGGCTGATGTTTGCGTTGAGGGCTCCGACCAGCATCGGGGATGGTTCCAGAGTCAGTTGCTTACTGCTGTGGGTCCGGGTCGTCCTCTATCCCGTACAAGGCTCTCGTTACACACGGGATGGTCCTAGACCAGAAGGGGAAAAAGATGAGCAAGTCCTTGGGGAATGTTATAAGCCCTATCACGGTAGTCGCTGGTGGTAAGGTGGGTGAAAACACCATTCGTCTCGGTTTGCATGGTCGCTTATATTTTCCTAGGATAAAAAGAAGGAGCCTGCGTATGGAGCCGATCTTCTGAGGTTGTGGATCGCTTCAGTGGAGTATTGGAACGATGTGCCCCTTGGAACGAATATTCTCAACCAAACTGCGGAGTCACTGAGAAAGATCAGGAACACGGCACGTTTCCTGCTAGGGAATATCGGAGATATATACGAGCGGGACAATGAGTATGCATGGGAAGATGTCAGGGAGCATATGGATTTGGTAAGTTGTATCGGAATGAGTGTCGCGGTACGTGCTAATTCTGTTTGTAGGCCGACCGGTACATGATCAACGAACTGCAAAAATGCGAAGCAGAGTGCGCAGCGGCGTATGCCGCTTATAATTTCCCCAAGGGTTAGTGCAGCGCTAGTTTATTTGTCTTGCTTCTCATCTGATGACTTTCCTCGACCCAAGTTGTGAAGACGCTTCAAAACCTCTGCAATATAACCTTGTCCTCCTTCTACTTTGACATAAACAAAGACAATCTCTACGCGAATGCTTTGAATGGGTATGAACGTCGTGCTACCGTTTTCGTGTTGAAAGAAGTATGCGCTTCTCTTTCTCAAGGAACATGTCTTAAACAACGTTCTATAGATACTCGCAACTATCGTTCGCGTCATGGCCCCGATTCTACCCCATTTGGCTCAAGAAATACACGATTCAATGTATTACAAGAGCAAAGGACTAGTGTTCTTGGAGCAGCCGTGGAATTGGCGCGAGGGCGGCTTCGCAATCAAAGGCTTCACAGAGGACGATATGAAAGCAGTGAAGAAGGATTCAGACGATATGGCCATGCTGATGCAGGAAGTGCGCCCCGTCGTCACGTCTCTGCTGGAACAAGCTCGAGAGCAAAAGTAAGTCAAGTTGGTTCGCTTCTTTGGCAATGGCTGACAACGTGGGTAGGCAAATCAGTGGTTCTTTGGAAGCCGAAGTGGATGTTATTCTCCCAGAAGTACCTGATGTGGCTTCAGACACGCAAGAAGCAACTACATCCCTCCAGGACAACGGGAAAACAAGGCTTGCTCAAATTTTCCGAGATCATCGTGCGTGCTAATAGGCTCTCGGGCGGAGTTGCGTGTTTACCCAATTCTCGCAGAGGATTTCATGACGAAGCATTTCATCGTGTCAAGAGTCACAGTGATAGACGAGGGTTCGCTTGGAACTGCGTCACCAGAGTGGATCTATATTCGTAGTTTGAGCATACTGGGAGAAGGGTTCTCGAAGCCTGCATCCGCCCTCGGATCTGAGGAGTCCTATGATGTTGCCATCCGGATTCGTCCTGCCACGAGGGAGAAGTGTCCTCGGTGTTGGACCTTCACTAAGGAGGCTGAGGATATATTGTGCCAGAGATGTGCAGATGTTACACAGGATATGGATTAGTAGTGTTTTTTACCTCATATAATGCTAGAGAGATCTTACTTGTACTATAGAAGCTTAGATAGTAGTTCAAAAACAACGATTCCACCTCATTCGGTACATATGGGGCTAGTACTTTAGCAACCGAGGCAAGTCAGCTAGTCAACGTAGCACTCATCGACCTTGTCAAGGTACCACAGCTGGGCATCGCTCCCGACAGACCGTGAAAGCATAACCTATAGAACGCTGTCAGATCATGTCAAGTAAGGGCTTCTGGAGCTTACAGCGCCTTGATAATTAACCGGGTCTTGAACAGTCCATACGAGATCCTCGTAAGGAAGTTTGATCTAGAAGTGGAGTCAATTACTCCGCTTCTCAAATTGACTCTCGAGTACTTACGACGTACGAGCCCTCGCCTGCAGTCGAGATAGCAAACGTGGTAGCGTCCCCGTCGCTTTCAGTAGTCACCAGACGCTTATCCTTGCACGAAGTTAGCGAATCAAGTACTATGAAATTAGACGGCCGGACGCCACATACATCCGCCTTGATGAATCCACCAGTGGCCACGTTTTCAATAGTGTAGCCGCCTTGGGTCTTGGAGAGATCCCACTGTAGCACTGCCTTGAGTAGGGAAGAGCGGAAAATCAAAACCAAAAAGACTTGACTTCTTCGTGTTCACTGCCGTTCACGGCGACGAAAGGAACGAAGATATTCTCAGTGCCCAGCGTGTACGAGCGGACAGAGCTATCAGAGTGTTTGTTCACGAACTTGGCGCTTTGATCTCCAGAGGCGACCTGAGTGTTAAAGATGTCAAATGGGAGGGCATTACAGGACATTGAAGGAATACCTCACGAGGGAGCTGAGCGAGGGTAGCCAAGAAAAGAGAAGAGAGAACTAGCAACTTGTTGCAGAGCATAGTGGGAATGGGCCTAAGGATGCTTCCACCGTGCACGATGGGCCGTGGCCTTTTGTAGTA